GAAGTGTTTTTTTTTTTAAGAATTACCTTTATGTTTACACGGTTTTTTTGCATGATGTATATTTCTTTCTCAAGGGAAACGATTATTTGAAGACGTATATCCAATATTTAATTATTTTTTTTTTATGTAGTACAAATACACATCAAGATATACAGAGAGAAGATCCAGAAGCAAAAATTACTGATCTTAAAAAACAAAACGACGAACTTGCAAAAGAAAATCAAGCTATGAAAACAATTTTCACTCCAAGAAAAATCATCGAAAAATTGTTAATTAACATGTAGATTACAGTTCAATAGTACATTGTATTTATTTTTAGTGGTTAATTTTTCTTGTACTCAGTTTTTGAAAGTTTGGAACAGAATATCTAAAGTAGATTTCTATTAATTTCGGAGGCTTTCACGGTCGAAATCAATACATGATCGTTTTCCGGGTTGGAACCATGAGCCCAAAAACTCAATTTACACGGTTCCAACTCGGAAAACGATCATGTATAGATTTCTAATTAAGATAATTATGTTCACGTTAAATGTGCATAATTACCATAACAACAAAGTCTGTTCATGATTGATAATCAAATAAAAACCTAAAAAAGCAAAAAATGGATAATTCTGAAGATCTTGGCATTTTCAGAAAACCTGTGCGCTACTAACGAGAAAAATAGCACTTTTTTTATAATTATCTCCAAATTAAACCCGCACTTTTCTATTGAGTACACGAAAAATAATATTAAACGCGAAATTTTAATTTGTTGCAAACAATAGAAATACGTATCGAACTCCGTTAAATTCGTTTTTACAACTTAATTCAGGTAATTCACGTAAATTTAGTTTTCAGGTTGTTTAATGCAGCATTATAATTATTATATTATAAAATCGAGATTGTACAACACATTTTTTAAATACATAACGAATTATAACAATAAAAATCAAAAATATTAGCGATTCTTCATGCTTTTATGTTGAAATTCCAATAGTTCTACTCACCGAGTGACGTCACTGCGCGAACTGGTTTCATTTTGAGCCGCACGAGTATCATACCTAGAGAATTATTATATCATGATTGTAACCTAAAGTATTAATAATCGCGATACAAAATTCTACAGTCTCAAAAAACATTTATTGCTAATTACTGTTAATTTATGTGCGTATTTAAAGTGCGAAAAATAAAATGCCAACGATGTTAACACTAGCGAAGGTATTTATTAACTGACTTAGATATGTACAATATGTGAAAACTAACTTAGTAAAAAAAAGGTCTCGACATCTGGACGTCGATTTGCCGTCAAACGCCGACAAAGACAAAAGGGTCCAGACTTTCAACCACACAAGTGTCGCACCGGTACTGGGCCAGAGCGTATCTAATTCTGACATATTGCAACACTCCCACTCGCTCTGGTCAGATGAACTAAATAAACAAACACAAGGAAAAATTAGAACACACAAATAAAATAATACTTAAGAGAATAAGTCTTAAACTGAATGTAAATTCAACAATTTTAAATTATTGGCAAATTTATCACGGCTTAGCGGTTTCGTGAACATATCCGCCAGTTGTTCCGTTGTCCCAACGTGGTTGATATCAATCTCTCCCCGTTGCTAGGCGTCACGTGTGTAGTGGAACTTGACGTCGATGTGTTTGGTGCGTCGATGGTGAACAGGGTTTCGCACCAAATGTCCAGCAGTTTGCTTTAAGTGTAGAGTTTTTGTCCCACGATCGCGCACTATTTGCATACAGTTTGCCACGTCACCGGTAACTTCAAAATTCAGTTTTGGTTTATTTATGAAACTGTTGACACGTTCCACAGAACGACCGATTACCAGACCATCATCCACGTACAGCGCGAAATAAAGTTCGTTATTGTCAGACGCGTACACACACCGGTCAAACCGAGTAGGGTTCATGCCGAATTCCTTTAGCACTCCGTCCATTTTCTCATGAAACACTAACGGTGCCTGTTTCAGTCCGTATAAACTTTTGTTTAGTTTACACACACGGCCACTACCGTCGTCAAAACCGTCCGGTTGCACCATATATATTTCCTCTTTTAGCTCACTATAAAGGAAAGCAGTTTTCACGTCAATCTGAAAGAGTTCATAATCTTTGGCCGCCGCGATGGCCAACAATACACGCACCGATTCGAACCGTGCAACGGGTGAAAACGTTTCCGCGTAGTCGATGCCCGCTTTTTGCGAACATCCCTTAATGACCAACCGTGCCTTGTATTTATTGATGCTACCGTCCGGGTTAGTTTTAATCTTGAATATCCATTTATTTTGGATTGGTCGTCTGTTCGCTGGAAGCTCCACCAATTCCCAAACTTCATTTTTGGCTAAAGACTCCAATTCATCAGCCATTGCAAGCTCCCACTGTTTCGAATCATTCGTGGCTAACGCTTCTGCGAGAGTTTCAGGTGTTTTAGTCACTATTTTCTCACCTTCAGTCAGGAGGGCTGCAAATTGAACTTCGGTCATTTCATCTTTTTCTTCCATCCTTTTCTTTGTCTTAGATCGGGTGTTGTTTACGATAGAGTTTTCATCTGAAGGTACCACGCGTTTCGAGTACGCCGCTCGTGTTGGTGTTGATTGTACTTCATTTGTAGCGATTTCAGGTAACAATTGAAGCGGTCTTTTTGGTGGTAATTCGACAATTTTTACGTCACGACTCATAATAATTACTTTTGTACCTGGCCGCCAAAGTCGATATGCGTGTTGCTCAAATTCATATCCAACTAAGATGAGCCGTTCGCTCTTCTTTTCAAATTTGCTCCGTTTCGACTCGTCAATTAATGCATATGCAGTACTACCAATTTTACGCAAATGACTCAAATCAGGCTTTCGACCGGTCCAGAGTTCGTAGGGGGTTTTCCCTTCGAGACGGACACGTGGTATTCTATTTCTAATGTGAGCCCCGTTTCTAATCATTTCCGCCCATAGTCTTTGGGGCAGGTTTCCGCTTGCAAGTTGACACCGCACCATTTCATTTAATGTCCTGTTAGATCGTTCGGCCCGCCCATTCTGTTGTGGACAGTACGGTGTGGTCAATTCCTGTTTAATAAATTTCTTGGTTAACACCGCCTTCATTTCACTGCCCAAAAATTCACCCCCGTTGTCCGATCGCACGCGTTTTATTTTGTGTCCATTCGCTTCTGCATCAGCTATTACACTAATCATCGCGTCGACGACGTCGGACTTTGTTTTCATAGGAACTGCGATGATCGTACCACTGCAATCATCTGTAAATACAGCTGCGAATCGCGAACCACCTAACGATTCATTCAATGGTCCGATCGTGTCAAAATGCATTAGATCTCCTGGCCGTTCAGCCCGCGAATTTGAGGACGGGAACGGTTGTCGCACGTGCTTGCCGTATACACAGTCTTCGCAAAATGTGTCCTCATTGTCCGTACTATCTTTCGAGTCCACAACTTTCATGCCAGTTATCGCGTCACTTTTGGCCATTTCGCGAACCACTTTAAATGCAACATGTCCAAGCCGTTCATGCCACACTCGAACGTTTTGAGCACTTGCACTTGCGATCATAGCCTCTGCCGTTGCCAGCGCGCGAATATTCATTTCGAATAAACAGTTTTTAGCCAATTGTCCGGTGGCTACCACTTTGCCACGACTAAACAATTGTAACGTGTGTTTGCTGAATAATGCGTTAACACCATGATTACTAGCTGCACTTATTGAGAATAGATTTTTCCCAATTTCAGGCACGTACCACACTTCACTCATGCCTTGCTCCAGTACTTGTCCATTAACGTACGAAGTAATCATTACATCTCCTTCACCTTCCGCGTAAATAGTTTCATTGTTGCCCACTGTGATCGGTTTCCTCTCACTTGCACTAAACTCCCTATAATTTGTAATAATGTCGCGCCGAAAAGTCATGTGTTTACTCGCACCAGAATCCGCGACCCATAATTCGCCCGCTTTACCGACAGCCATCGTTTCGGCTGTATCCATCATCGCACTCGATGCGCCGCTGTTTGATGCTGTATTCGGTTGGCCATTGTTTTGAGTGTTTTGGGGTTTGTAGCAGTCGATCTTTCTATGTCCCGTCTTACCGCAATTATAACACTTCCCACTAAATCGCTGTTTTGTAGATTGCTGTCCCTGCTGATTTTGATAACGACCACGTCTATTTCTTTGATGATTTTGGCGTTATCCCCGATTGCCGTTGCTTGTGTAAAGGGCTGAGTTGTCTTCTTCGTCGTTTTTAATCTCGGCCATTCCATTTCTCATTGTTTCCAGCTTTAATAACCGAGGAAGAAGGTTGACCATGGTTTGCATATCAAAAGCCGCTGCTATATGCTGATACTGTTGTGGTAATGTGTACAGTACTTTGGTGATTATTTGTTCATCGGTGGGTTTCTGATTCAGATCTTCCAGCTGTCTCACCAGCTCTTCGATAGCAGCAACATGTTCAGTAATTGTTGCGCCTGGTCGCATTTGATAATTATAAAATTTTTGGTGTAAAATATGAATCGACGTCTTGTTCTTTTGTTCGTAAATAGTCACCAGTCGCGTCCACATTTCAGCTGCAGTCTTCATATTCATTATATGACGCACAACATTCGTCTCTAGAGCGCACGATAACGCAAATTGAGCTTTCTCGTCTTTTCTGTCCCATTCTTCTTGTTCCTTGGACGTACCTCCCGAATCAGGGTGAGCTTTCATACCTTCGACAACGTCTAACAATTCGTGATACCGCAGATAGGCGCGCATTTGAAACTTCGATACTGCAAAATCGTTGCCGTTAAACTTAGCTATCGCGAACTTATCCATTTTCGATGTGTCTGCTACTATTGGCCGCGAAACCGAACTTGAACACTGACCAACTACAAATCACAACTTCGAGTAGGAACTAATCGCTGATATTCCGCTAATTGCACTTTTCAAAATACTAATTGCACAATACCCGATACGTAATCTGGGCCCATAACCTGTTAATTTATGTGCGTATTTAAAGTGCGAAAAATAAAAGGCCAACGATGTTAACACTAGCGAAGGTATTTATTAACTGACTTAGATATGTACAATATGTGAAAACTAACTTAGTAAAAAAAAAGGTCTCGACATCTGGACGTCGATTTGACGTGAAACGCCGACAAAGATAAAAGGGTCCAGACTTTCAACCACACAAGTGTCGCACCGGTACTGGGCCAGAGCGTATCTAATTCTGACATATTGCAACAATTACTAAATTAATAATCACTACACTGTGAGTTAGGTGCTACCAAGGACAGATTGTCAATTCATGGATCTGCAAAATGTAAAAATGCTTAAATTTGTATTAACAAAACTACTGACAATAATACCTGTACATGTTCCGGCGTCGAAAGAACATAAATTACCCCATTAGCTATATCTTGAGGTTGCAAAGCGTCCATTGTTTCATACATAGCTTTAGCTTCCGGTGGCAAATCCTTCTTCAAACTGGTCAATTCAGTAGCAACCAAACCTGGACTCAAACTCTACAAAAATGCATCAAAACCTGGATCCACCAAACCAAAAATACTCACGGTGATCTTGATTTTCAAACCCAAACTATTCAGTTCTTGTCTCAACGTCTCCGTGAGAGCTGTTACAGCAAATTTAGACGCTGGATATATATTCAAAGCGTGAGTGAGAACTTGATGACCAAGATTACTATTAATGTGTATAATATGTCCGTTGATTTTATGGGTCTTCATCATCTTCACTGTTTCTCTTGTTATTATAGACAGGGCTAGAATATTCAAATCGAGGACTTTCTTCATATTTTCGGTTGAAGTGTCGAGAAGGCCACCCATTGAGGTGGTTCCAGCGTTGTTGATAAGAATGTGAAAAGGACCTACGTTATCTTCAATCCATTTCAGAGCATTTAAAATATCTTCTTCTTTACTTAAGTCTGCTTTAACAGCGTAGAGTTTTTGTTTCTTTATTAAATTTTTGGCGCGTTCTTCGATTAGTTCGGTTCGGCGAGCAATTCCTACCACCTGAAGTGGAATTAGTTGTACGAACTAGTATTTGAAGTAGTTTGTACTTACAATTACTCCTTTTTGAAGTAGAGCATCTACTATTGAAGCACCAATTCCAGCACTAGCACCTGTTACTACGGCTACTTTGTCTATCCATTTTACCATTGAGTGAACCATTTTGCAAGGTTTTTCGCGAACTACTGACGCTTTTTAGTGTTTAACAATTTTATTTAATCTTGCTATTATGACACTGTAAATTTTTAGCAGTGATTAACACTAAAGGTGATGTTGTTTACATATTTTTTTTTTATCTTGTACAGTTATTATTGGGAAACAGATAAGATACATTTTATTGAAGGTGCAACAGTTTTGGATACTTATATCGCTAATTTACAATTATGCTGTTAATTACATAGTTTATTTAAAATGCAACTAATCTACAAAATAATCAAAAATGGTTTCCTAATTTAAACTTGGTGGAATGTTTCGCATGAAAACTAGCGAAAATAATAATTAGACGGGAACCATAAACGATGCTGTAATAACTACGTCTAATTACTGAAAATATTTACACATCATTCTGCATCAATGCTTTTTATTATTTACAAATATTTTCTGCTCTATTTAGGTAAAATCTTTGTTAGATGTAAATTATTTACATCATTTTTGTAGATCCCTTTTTTTAGCATTTATAACTTAATGTTAATCAATATGTCTCCATCCAGTTACAGTTTTAATTACAATTATTTTTCCTTTCGATTTATAAAAATCTGTATTTTCGTTTATTAAATTGCGACTAACACGCTGAAACATTGTACACCTGTTGTGCGGCAGGTTACTGTTATCTTCGCTATATAGATTTCATAATAATTATTTGAATTTAATATTAGCAGAGTGGATGGACAACATTCTGAACGCAGGATTTTTATTTCAGTTTTAGTTAAGGTACGCCTGCTATAATAAATTTTGAACACCATATATGTTTCAAGGGACTAAATTTTGTTATGGATAGTTTGTAAATTTTGAAGGCACTATTTTAAATTGATATACCTGTCTTCCTGTCTTTACTATAAAGTAAATGACATCATCAAAACTTATTTTAAGAACTTGTTTGCAATATAGGCATACCCCGCTTCTATATTTGTACTTGAATCGGCCATGTAAAAAATCAACAATTTATTTCTAACTTGAATTTACACGACTAACTATTACACGATTATGCACAAAATAAGTCCGGCTGGTTTCAGTGGACGCTCTTGACTCCACTAGTTGAATTCGGCTCAATAATCGTTCCCGACGGTGGCCTCTATGTTTTTTCTAGACCCCGCAATCGAGACTTCCGGTAGCCGGCTCCAGACTTGTCTTTATGAGAACGCCGCGTTCGCGTTCGATGGGTCATCACGACCAGAAAGCTCTCGACGGCCATAGGCGTCGTACCGGGGCTGCGTAAGAGTGTATTTCGTAAAAATATCATTCTTTATTTTAGCTTATAGAGCTTACCATTAAAACAATAAAATAAAATTCATAAAGTATAATTTTATATATCTTGAGAACCAATTGTGCAAATCAACTGAAATTAGATATAGGTGTACTAGTAGTGCTCTAATTATTCGTCAACAATTTTTTTTTTTGCTTCGAATACCAAAAACTGGAGTTCCCAGCAGAAATTATTTGATTTCAAATAGACGGTGCTCCACCCCATTTTGGACGTCAAGTGCTACACTACTTAAATGACAGGCTGAAGGAGTACTATTGGCTAGCCTGCCAGGTTTGATACAGCAAACAAGAACGATATACCAATGGATTCATAAAAAAAAACTCTATTCAAAATAGTATAATATATTATTCAATAAGCGGGTAATAAGGGAGACTACTCACGAAGATGAGTTTACACACAAGCCGAATGGCGAGTGTGTAATTCATCAACAATTTCTAAAGTCCGACTTCGCAACGCTCCCGTTGCCTTACTTATTATTGGATCGCAATAGCGGCGGTTTGTTTCATTCAGTGGTCGTGCAATTAATTAATTGCGTTGTTTGAGGCTTCGAAAGTAATGATTTGGCTACACTCCCCGTAGATAATAAATAATTACTCACTGGCAAGAACCAGTAGGAAGCTTTCAAAATGATTACTCACTGGTGTCGTTACCCGTGAGGAATAAATTTCTTTGCCAACTAAAAACTGTTTAATAATTCATACATTATTCAACAGGACTAGAAAAATGCATTAATTATATATATGGCAGTGCCATTAAAAAAAATCAATTGAAACTCAAAACCAAATGAAGTAAAAATTTTTTTTTGATGAATAATTAGAGAACAAATTTGGTAGCCTTGTACCTACCTAATTTTCCTTGATTTGTACAATTGGTTCTCAAGTAATTTAACCATTTCCATATATTCTAGCGACCTGTATAGTAATATAAAGTACTCTCATTATAGTTAATAATAATATATGACTCATCAGCATTTGTTTTTAAAGTCAGTTTTCAGGACAGATAGTAAACCATTTATAACTCCTGTATTATTTATCAACAGTGTGTGCTCGATGCCGACTCGTTTCCAGATGAGAGATTGCAAGAATCGACCCCTAGTGTACTTGTTCTTGATAAATGTGTTCTAAAATCCTATTGACATTTAGAGTTAAGAATATTTACTTCTGGGAAACGTTACAAATAAGTGTTTAAAAGTATTTAAAGTATTGTGATGTCCTGATCTTGAAACTTAAATTTCACTGCAAAACACTATTTGAAAATTAAAAGCATTGAAGTATAAAATCATTTAATAACAAGTTCGTACTCATTTGATTTAAACATTCACTTAAATTCCCTAATGCATAATTTAACATAATGAACATTTTTTGTTTAAAATTTTTGATACATTGTCTCCTAACGAAGATTTGTTTGCTTTGCAATTTCAGTATCTAATTGATTTGGCCAACAGGAATGTCGATTTGTTCTCGACTGAACATGTGCCGGACTTTTTTTAAATCGACAATAACAAAATGGACGAGTTGAAGTTCGTCGGTCAATTGCAACAATGTTGAATGAGTGAAAGTTTCTTATATTCAAAATGGAAAAAACATGTCCTAACTAACAAAAACCTGGTTAGAAAAACCTGTTGCCTGAAGGTTTGGTTCATTTAGATCTTTCTTCGTTACAACCTAAGTCCCACATTCGTTTCTCTCAGGACCTGATCAAGATCAGGATCTACTCAAAAAGCAATAGCCATTGAACACACCACATGACTCAAAGAAAAAATGAGATTTTATTACCCGACGCTCAGCGATATTATTATAAAACTAAAATTCGTATATTATCGATATATGTAAGTAACTATAACCGATACAGTGTTACATTACATTCATCTGAGACCAGTGGCGTAACAATCAAACTGCGGGCCTGTGTTCTACAACACTGTGGGGCCCCTAATGAACAGCGAAATAAAAATATTTAAAAATACGAGTGTAATGAGGAAAATATGAGTAGATTGCAATTAGGGCTTACGTTTTATTAAACTCATTCTACCTGAAACACCGAATTAAAAAAAATAAAATACAATATTTACCTGAATAGATATAATTCAAATATATACAATTATACATATTAGAAACTAGCCGACCCGGCAAGCCTTGTTTTGGCATTTCTAGTGAATATTTTGGTAGTTAAATAAAAAATTAAATTGAAATAAATACATATAAACATAATTAAATTAAATTATAAATTATACATAAAAATTTATCGTACGACAACGATTATATTCAATAGCCATCTTGCAACCCTATTGCGCATCTGTGGATGAAAGCAAAGATACTCATATCGTTATTAAAAGATGGGGTTTGGTGGTAGAAGGGTCAAAATTTAGGGTTATATGTATTTTTTGATGCCAAATCTTAAAAAAATAAAAATAAAAAATGTTGTCTAAGAAATAAAAAAAAAATTTTGGTGGGCCACCCTTATCACTTAGGGGTATAAAAAATAGTTTACTAGACCTACCGAATATACACAAAAAATTTCATAAAAATCGGTCAAGGCGTTTCGAAGGAGTTTGGTTACAAACACTGTGACACCGGAATTTTATATTACATAGATTATTTTAGAACAAATTTCAGTACCATAAAAAAGGTTATACTGAGTCGACCTTTAAAGGTAGACATATGCTGTCGCGGACTTTTTTTAGAACTTTTAGAAGGGAACAATTCCATCATACATGATTTTTATGTAACTTTAACCGTTTAAGCAGCGTAAGCAACGGAAGCTGTCAAAGGAGGAATAATTTTCCCGTTTTTCCGATATTTTTCATATCTGCTCCGCTCCTATTGATCGTAGCGTGCTGTTATATAGCCTATATACCTTCCTCGATAAATGCACTATCCAACACAAAAAGATTTTTTGAATTTGAACCAGTAGTTTCTGAGATTGGGACGTTCAACCAAACAAACTCTTAAGTATAGAAGTATAGAAGTATAGATAAAAATGCCCATTTTTCTTAATCTCAAAATTATTTTCTTCTTGCTTTCCAATGGGCACAAGTTGATACAAAATTTGACACATCTAAGCTTCTGGCAATTTGATTTCCAATTGAGAGATTCAGTGAAGATAATCTGCATTGTGTTTCTTAAAAAATTTTTAGTCATTTTTATTTTCGAAAAGGATCTTTCCGCTGAAGCCACCGAAAGAGGTATTGTAAGAAAAGTGAAACATGCTGTGATAATTTCAGTGAAACTAGTGCAGGTAGGTCATTCTGTAATAATTTGCCAGTCCAGTTTTTTTTCGACTTAAAAAATTAGTTGTAACATTCATCAGATATATTTTATTATTCCAAAAAAGCACCACAAGTACAAAATTAAAATAGTTTTGAAAATACGAAAGTTTTTATAAAACACAACTGAAACTGAATTTTTTTTCACGTCATATTACATCATGAAGTTTCAAAGGCTTTAAAAATCGTATTTTGAAATGAGCGCTTGGTTCAATTTATCGATAGCGTCCTTGTATTAGCCATGGAAATGGAAAATCGAAAAGTCAAAGATAATTTAGAAATTATTCCTCTATTCTCACTCAGAAATCAATGAACAACTCAAACTTTTATCCAGTCTAATGATTGTTGTATGACAAATTAAATAAACGGTATAAATGCATAAATTGATTCATTTATTGGTGCAGGGTGCAGCACATGAATCCTCCCACGAAACTCCTGGTCGTAGTGCGCGATCCCGTCAAACGAACCACCTCCGACTACACCTAGGCCGTATCAAAGAAGACCGAGATGAAGCCCTTCGAGCAGCTCATCTTTTTCAACACCTCCATCGGCAGCAAGATGACACATCCTGGAGGGCCGTCAAGCTGGGCTTTTACTCGGGCTACCTCACTCAGATTATTGTAGGATAACTTAAATGCAATAAATGCACAAATTGCCCAAAATATTTTATGTGGTTATGTTGTCACTGCCAGTGAATTTTAGTGCATTTTTATTATTAAAATGTCATTAAAATGCTAGTCTACTGCGATTAGAATAAAAAGCGAGGAACTGCTTGTTTTTATCATGTGATGATAAGGTTTACCATTAAAGCAACAGTTGGCGGTTTTGAAGCGAACATTTTAACGAACCATTTAGATAACGACAAACAATAATATTTAACAACAATAGGTAACGTATGAAGTAACGAAATATTGTACAAATCTAGAGAAGTATTGCACTATTTACAAGACTTGCTCAAAAAGGCCACTCTTAGCTGCTGTATAGTAAGTAAGTAAATCGATCTTCAAAGATCCTACGCGTGTTGATCAGTATTTGAGGTGAAATCTGAAGGTCATATTGTTGGCCTGCGTCTCAGTTTGCATCAGTATTGTTTGAATACACACGGTCGGGAAGAGATTCCCAAAGAAAAAATCATCGGGATTTAAATCCGGAGAACGTCCAGGCAAATAGGTCGGTCCGAACTTTCCAATCCAGCGTTGCGGAAAATGCTGATTGAAATAAGCAACATTTATGCGAGCTCTCGATCTTGCATGTAAAAGACCAGACTATATTTAAGCATGCACTTCCGCTTCGAGGCCTTTTTTAGCGAACGCCGCTTCGAGGGTTTTCTGGACCCGTCGCGACATGCGCTTGTAGGCTTTCCTTTAGTGAACGCCGCGTCGCCCGATCGATGAGTCATATACTACATACTAGAAGCAACACATAGGCGTCGTACTGGGGCGGTGTATGGATTTATTTTGTGACAATATTTTGTGCATTTTGTGCATGTATTGCGCCTAAATTGTCCTATAATAAACATCACGTTGGACAAAATATAATGCAGTTTGAGTTGTTCAGTGATTACTGAGTGAGGTACCGCGAGTAAATCCTTAGCTTGACGGGCCCCCAAAGCATGTCATGATGCTGCCGATGGAGGTGTTGAGAAAGATGAGCTGGTCGAAGGGCTTCATTTCGAGTTTCTTAAAATAATTCAGTTTGAGTTGAATAACTTATAACTTATAAGATAATAATTCCTCATGTTATTCCCTATGTCCAAATTCCATGTTTTAAAGTACGTTGTAAATAAATCTTGAGATGTCTGTCTAGGCAAGAAGCCAAAATTTTGAATTCCAGTCTGGTGCCCGTCTAGTTTTTACGAGGCCTTGTCAAATTTTGTAACTTTTGAATCTACTAGTGATTAAAATGATGAATCTGTATAGTATAGAATTGGACTGCAAGGGGACTAACAACTATATAGTTTAGAAAATATGGAAAATAAATAATGTCACAAAGATTTATAAAGTTTATTTATCTTTCTATCTATAATAGTTACACATTAAAACTTTTTATAATCCAGTTAATGTAAGTTCATGCACCTATAAAGTATAATAAGTATGATTAAACAAATTGCTATTGGAAACCTTAAAAGCACTTACCTGTACATGTTCGGGGGTCGATAAAGCATAAACCACCGCATCTACTACATCCGCAGGTTGTAAAATCGCTATTTTGTCGAACATTTCTTTAGCTTCCGGTAAGATATCCTTATTTAAAGTAGTCATCTCAGTAGCAACCAAACCCGGACTCACACTCTACAAAAATGCGTCAAAATCCAAACCCTTCCAACCCAAAACACTCACCGTAACTTTTATTTTCAACCCTAAAGAATTAAGTTCTTGCCTCAACGTCTCGGTAAGAGCGGTTACAGCAAATTTCGTCGCCGGATATATGCTAAAAGCATGCGATATCACTTGATGTCCAAGAGTACTGTTAATGTGTATAATATGTCCATTGATTTTGTGAGCCTGCATCATCTTCACTACTTCTCTTGTTATTATGGATAGACCCAAGACGTTCAAATCTAGAGTTGTTTTCATATCTTCGGTGGAGGTTTCGGTAAGTCCTTTTAGCAAAATGACTCCAGCACTGTTGATAAGAATGTGAATCGGGCCGACATTGTCTTCAACCCATTTTAAAGCTTTCAGAATTTCTTCTTCTTTGGTGATATCTGCTTTTACAGCGTATAGTTTTTCTTTAGCCGTGCAACTTTTGGCACGTTTTTCGATTAGTTCAACTCGGCGAGCAATTCCTACAACCTATTATGAATTTTTCTTTTGATATAATTTTAAAAACGAACATTAAAAGTACTTACAAATACCCCTTTTTCGATTAGTCGGTCTACTATAGCGGCACCAATTCCAGAACTAGCACCTGTTACTACGGCCACTTTGCCCACCCATTTTGCTATTGGTAGTACCATGGTTGTAAATTTTTGCTAAGCAATTGTGACTTTGTGTTTGTCTGGCGGTTTTATATACCTATTTGCGTCGTTCTGGCAATTAAAATAAAACGTATATGACAAAGTTATTAACACTGTTGGCTACTAATGAACATACTTTTTATCTTTATCGTGTTTTTTACAAGTAAAAATAATGTAAAAGTACTAAAAGGCTCCCTTGAATGAATCATACGTTTGATAACTTGTAATTCTGAATGTAAAGTAGAATAAATTATATACCTAAGCGATAAAACTTACTCGGTGGAACATAAAAATAAAACGATGTAGATGAAAAGGACTGAGAAGTTTAATCAGGTTTCGGTGAGTTGAAACTAGTCACTGACGCATTAGTTATATATATATATATTTTTTTTTTTTGATAAAATATTGTTTTGACAATGTGAAACACCACAAGATACTACTCACTACTCTCCCCTACATTACAACCGAGACACATCTAAAAATAAATAACTTTGACCTTGTCCACGCAATAGTAAACAGATGTTCATTCTTTACTCAAGCGCGATTTAGGACAAGCATTAAAGCAGTTAAATTAATTACGATAATTCAGATAAAAGTACAGTTTCAAACATATCACATATTAAATTCTCCAGAAGGTTCCTGTGTGCTTATAAAGTGCTAAAAATGTTTTTTGCGGACTCACCTACCGGTGATTTCATCATCGTAGTTATAACTCTATCAGTTATAATTGTCAGTGTATACAACTGGTTTTATCTACATTGGAACCGAAGAAATGTACCCTGCCTGCAAACAGATTTTTCTAGTTTGAACGAACACCTTGGCATCAAATTCAAACATGTCTATAATCTAATGAAACAAAACCAATGGAAACATGGAGGAGTTTTTATCCAAGTGACACCAATTTACGTTGTCAGGGATCTACATCTACTCAAAAACATCATGACTAAAGATTTCCAATACTTTCCACACCGTGGACTGTACTACAACGAAAAAGACGATCCTCTGAGTTGCCACATTTTCAACACCAGTGGCCCAAAATGGCGTCGTATGAGAACAAACCTCAGTCAGATCTTCACTCCCGGCAAACTAAAATCAATATTTCCGCTTCTTCTAAGCTGTAAAGAAATTCTGATCAAAAAGATTGAAACTGAAATAAACAGAAAAATACCCTTTGAAGCTAAAACAATTGCGGATAGTTTCATTGGTGATGTTATCGAGTCCTGCGTTTTTGGTCTAGACTGGCAAAATTTTTCCGAGCAATCACCCATACAACAATTCGGGAGAAAAATTTTCAGGCGATCACGTACCAGAAGAGTGAAGGGTTTCATAGTTGACAATTTTCCAAAACTTGGAAGAATTTTAAACATTGCTTTGATACCAAAAGACGCATCTACGTTCTTTCTGAAGATAGTTGAAGAGGCAATCGATTACAGGAAAAAGCAACACATTGTAAGACACGACTTTCTTCAAGTACTCACCGAACTGAGAAACGAAGATGGAAGCTATTTGAAAATTGAAGAAATAGCAGCTCAGTGTTTTATTTTCTTTCTGGCAGGGATGTCCACGTCACCGACTGCCATCAGTTTTGCTCTGTACGAGCTTGCGAAAAACGAAGATATACAAGAGAGTGTTCGAGAAGAGGTCGGAAAAGTTTTGGAGAAGTACCAAAACGTGATTACGTATGAGGCCATCCAAGAAATGAAATATTTAGAGCAAGTGTTAGATGGTGAGTTTGTCATGTCGAAGAGTTGGAGGTAAAAAGATATTTTAGAAACTTTAAGAAAGTACCCGCCGGCAGCATATTTAAATCGGAAGTGTGTAAAAGACTACAAAGTTTTTGGTACTGATGTGGTGATTGAGAAAGGTACTACAGTTGTGATTCCGGTTCTTGGTATTCACCATAATGAGGAATTTTATCCTGAGCCTGAGAAATTTGATCCTGAACGTTTTAATGACACAAATAAGGGTTTAAGAGAAAGTTATGCGTTTATTCCGTTTGGAGAAGGACCTAGAATTTGTATAGGTAAGAAAAAAAATTGTTGTTAAATGAGATCTATACGGTAAGGTTTTAGGTATGCGTTTTGGGCAGATACAATCAAAATTGGCATTAATTTCTTTGTTAAGAAATTTTAAGTTTACTATTAATAACAGAACACAAGAACCTTTGAAGATGAAAAAAAGTACTTTAGTACTGACTGCGGAAAGTGGAATTTGGTTGAATGCCAATAAATTGTAATTAACTTTACGGGTTTTTGTTTTATTCTATAAGCTTATCAATTGTCAATGTTTATAATGATGTTGGCCATATTTAACATCATTTTGAAATTTCTCTGTTCCTAAAACGGCCTTATCGTTAGTTCATGAACCTAGCATAAAAATAATTTATATTAATTAATAGTTAACACTCCAGCTTCTAAACTCACTTGAACATGTCCTGGCGTTGACAGAACGTAGACAACGCCATCAGCGATATCTTCAGCTTGCAAAATAGGTCGTTTATGAAATTCTTCTCTAACGTCTGATGGTAACTTTGTACCTAATGTGGTTAACTCTGTGGCTACCAGCCCAGGACTAATACTCTACAACAAAATACAGTCTATAGTCATATTTTTATAAGAATTATTATAATATAATGTATTTATTTAACACTACTTCCACTCACCGTAACTCTGATTTTAGTACCAAGACTGTTCAACTCCTGCCTCAACGTTTCAGTTAAAGCAGTAACAGCAAATTTAGAAGCCGGGTAGACATTGAACTGAGGAGAAAAAACTCGATGACCTGCCGCACTATTGATATGAATAATATGACCATCATCAATCTTGTGTTTCTTCATTGAACTTATTGCTTCTCTTGTAGCTATACACAAACCCAAAACATTCAGATCGAAAACTTTCCTCCAGTCTTCAGTGCTGGTATTTGTCAGTCCACCTCCAGTACCCGTTCCCGCATTGTTGATAAGAATGTGTACTGGTCCTAAATTATCGTCAACCCATTTGAAAGCACCCTGAATGTCTTCCTCTTTTCTTAAATCTGTTTTAATTGCGTAGAGTTTCCCTTTTTTGTTACTGAGAGTCTTAGCATGCTCTTCGATTAATTCTGGGCGACGTGCGAGTCCAACAACCTGTGAAAAGTGCGTTTAAATTCAAAAAAGTCGTTCAGATTTATCACTTACAATTAGGCCGTTTTCAACAAGTTGGTCAGCGATGGCAGCACCGATTCCAGCACTAGCTCCGGTTACAATGGCTACTTTGCCTACCCATCTATCCATAGAATTTGCCATTGTCGCAAGCTGCTCGTTATGTAGTGACCAGACTTGTCTTTTTACTACTCAACGTTGATAACTGTGTTTTAAAAATGTATAGGTTATCAGGTTCTGTAAACTCGAGATAACAGCCTATATAGTATTTTGTGTAAACAAGAATTTTTCATTTAGAATTTGGAAGATCTGACGAATTTTTACTTCTCGAGCGTAAGCCAAGAAAGTATTGCAATCGAGTCCATCAACTGACTTTCTATTTTTACGTTTTCTCGACCACTGATGACCCCCTAAATTATAAAACAACATTTTCAAGAAGGCAAGGCCGTGTATGGGAAAGGCAGCACACTGTAATTTCTATATCTATACCTTGAAACCGAAATTGGATCATATATACAGGGTGTTATTGAAAGGTACGTACAACAAAATTGACAGTCCTTCGCGAAGTCTAAGAAGTCTGAAAAACTTATGTTGTGTTATCAAAATTATAAGGGGAAAATTAACCTTTATCCAACCTTTTTAGACGCTACTGAACGATAAATAGGTAAAATTAATTTAATTTAGTAAATCCTAGCAACTGTAACAATAAAACTTTTGTCAAGACTAAATGTTGCAATAGAAACGAGAGATGATTTTTTTGACCAGAGGCGTACAACGAATTTGGACATAAATTTTAATAATTTTTATCTCGAAAAGGAGAACACTTTTACTTGAACTTTTTTTAACTTTTAGCACCCATACTTCGAGACCAATTCCCGATTTTATTTTGTACGTACCTTTCAATAACACGCTGTATATATATTTAACTTAAACTTTTTACCAAATCTTTATCTCCATTTTTAACAACGCGGTTTTTTCATTTTTGGATGCCAGAAAAAGGTTTTATATGTAGCCTTTTGGTGAGACAATTCTTTTGTAATCAAATAGTATAAGAAAGGAGATGATTTGTCTTGAATAATCGCGACGTCATCAACAGTTTTATTTTGATTATGTAAAAATGAAATTTTACCAAATTTATGGCAAAAACATTGAGCTATGCCCCGACTCATTCTTACATCCTCGGCGACTCAGAGTGCCAGAGAATATGTATTTGGTAATAAAAAATATCTTGACACTTTTCGCTAATTTTAACCGTTTGGTGAAAATGCTTGTTGTCAAACATCACTGCAGAATCGGAGTAATGCAACTGGTGTTGTATTTTGTGCTCACTGTGACAGTTTGACTACCGCTATTTAAGTGTCCAATAAATTTCAATGTGTCGTTAATAATAATTGCTCTTAACATGCAATGATGGAGTATTTAATATATGTATTTGAATTGCTATTTCTTGTCTTAATTTGTTCCGACTGAAAATTAGCAATGTGTATGAGTTGTGAGTGAATTCCGCTCAAATGTAACTACATTATTTTTCAGGTATCTAAAGAATTGCTTTGCACATAAGAGGGTAATCAAATTTTTTGACAACAACGGCCCTGCACTTAGTTTGCATTTGTCCTAATTATATTATTTTGTATATTAGCCATACCTAATATTGGGATTAGATGGTTGCCTGGTGTATTTAAAATAAAAAGGGTGAAATTTTGACAAATGGAACCATATTTGAAGAAATAACATTTATACCAGCACCTTGGTCTAAACTTATGAGCGTTCGTTTGTTAATAACATCAACGCAAATACATAAGAGAGATTTGGATCTCCCATAATTGCCCATTTGGGGTGAAACGGTTCTACAAGTTGCAACGAAGCGAATTTTCGCGGACCGGTGTTAAGATTTTTCACCAAGAAAAGCAGCCAAATAAAACATTTCTATATTAATCGACTTGTATACAGGAGTATGTCAAATACCCTGCCATAGACATAAAAATAATAGATTTCTCACTCTAAGGTTATTAAATACAAAATTAAGGAATTACATCAACAACCGGAAACTGCGACAAGTACCGAGAACCAGGGGTAAATCCGCGATTGTCCCGCCAACGCGACCAGAAAACGGGGATTCTTTTTCGAACCTTCACTTAGCTTGGAAGTGTTCTGCCCCGTGCTGTGGCGGTGGAAGCGGAAATGTCTTTTTGGAAGTGAAAACCGACCACCGCACCGTAAATACTGTTTTCCGATAATCGTTTATTAACGCATGCTTTTAGACAACCAGATATACCCCTCCCTACCTGAAATATTATATTTCTAAATGTCAAAAATTTACTGAATCAATTCAAAATGGACAATTAATTGTATAGAAATGGATTCTTTAACGCCTCCTTCACTAAATTTACTTCCCGGATAAGACAATGGGCTTTACCAAAAACCTATGATGAGTTTGTTGTATGGCGCGCCGGAAAGCAGGTGGTAAGTTGTATTTTTGCATCCTTCTCCGAAATTTCCCAAAAAGCAAGCTTGTGGCCAAAGTATTCTATGCTTCCGTCCACTTTAAGCATTCATCATGATTTGGAGATATCCAAATTTAAAAAACCACGGTGGTAGAAGTAAGGTGTGGAAACCTCATTCATAACTTTCCTCAAAATCATTGGTAGAAAACACAAATCGCGTGGTTTGGACTATATATCATTAGCTGTCCACACCGCAGCGACGTCTAGAGAGATCAGTTGAAATTAAGTAATAGAAAACTGCATTAAATCTTTGACATTTATGCCAATGGCATTTATTACCCAATCCCAAATGTCGAATCATCCACCAATCACACGATTCACACCAAAGACCAACCACAAACCGTAGTGCTGTGATTTATTTTCCCTCCAACGAATCTGTCACTTAATTCATTCATAAATACACTGACAAGTTGAAATGTTAATACATAGATGGACATACTGTGCTGCATACTATTTCGTAGTAAATAAGCCTACTGGGATGCGTGTTTTATTCAATAAATTGGAGCGGCTTGTTTCCACACCTTACTTCTACCACCGTGTAATAAACTAATAGGAGTAATATTTACAGTAAAGTCACTTGACATACACCTTGTAAAATTTTTATGACTTGAGCGGCTTAAGCCAAACTACCCTTATGAGTCAAACTGGCTATTGTAAGCTTTATGGTCCCGAACCGCAAGGATTATCCATTGTTGCCATAATGGAGCTGTGAAGTGAGTAAGTTATACAACAGCCAGTTTGACTTATAAGGGTGCTTTAGCTTAAGCCGCTTAAGTCATAAAAGTTTTAAAAGGTGTACATCAAATAAGTTTACTGTATTAAAAAACATGTTCACTTATGTGTTTGGTTGCATAACTCATATTTTCAATTTTCAGTAATTTAATAAAATTGCGATTACCGGAAAAGTATTGTAAACTAACTCGACTGTTAATTGGCGATTAATAATCTCAAATATTAACGCGCAAGGAACGAGCTCGCTAAAATATTTCGATTATTAATCGCCTTTATTAACAAACTTTTTGGTTAAATAGTGTAACGATTTTTAAATCTAAGCGCGCTCGGTGAGCAAGCTCTCGGAAGAGTGGAGTCGGTTTTTACGGGCGGCGAGAAAAAGAGGAGGTGAAGAGCGTTTTTTGAGCGAATTGAAATGCGGTGAAAAGCGAGATTTTGGCAAAATAAGGAACCAATAACAGCTAGGTGAGTGCCTATTTGGCCTAGAATATTTAAATAACAGGAGGAACTAGGTTCTATGTACGGGTGGCGTCGATTCGTGATTGGTTGCCGTCTCCGTCGTCACTGTCCCATACCCATCGATTCGTGGTTGGTTGCCGTCTCCATCGTTGCTGTCCCATACTATGGTAACATCTCCTAGGGGAGCTTTGAACACAAGAGGATCGCTCCGAAGTACTTCACCAGGAAAGAGCTTATGTAAATTTGCGGAAAGTAGCATGTAAGATCGTAAAATAAGTCTGTTGTCCGTTCGTCAATTCCTCTTCCTTGTTGGATTAACTACCCAGCTGGCGCCGAAAGGACCCCCCAACAAAAAAGGCCGGAGAACGTCAAAATCGCCACAATAGCTATTTGGGTTTTCCTGCCTATTTGCAGACCATTTTTTTAATCGCCGCCGCCGTTGAGCACATTGCGTTTTCCGCCGCCGCGCTCCCCTCCCGGGTCGCCATACCAACCCGGCGCGATTTCCCGTTCTAGGGTCGCCGCCCCTAGCGCCAGGAGGAGCCCGTCTCGAAGGAAGTTGACGTTCAGGAGGGAATGACCGTGCCGGACATTTTGTTCCTTTTTTTCTTGTTTTGTTAAAACCGTATTTTTTTTAAGATTAACGTAAGATTATTTTAGCCGTGTAGCTGGTGGCAAGGAATAAAATCCCGATTGTTGTTAGTAAAATTCCTCCGTTTTACTTCTTGTTTCCGCGGGCGCTCACCAGACCACTAGGAGAAGTGTGACTCCGGCTTTAGAGCCATCCCGGTGCCCAAGTACCACTGCTCCTGACTGAAGGCGCCCCCCACCTGTTACTTTCTCAGCGGCTTGGCACACCACCCCCATACGATATCGGCGAAATTCCAGACCGTCACGGGGAGTTTGGTGGCACAATCGTCGCAGCCGATATGGAGATGGACCTGGAGGAGTTGGTCACGTCTCTCCCGACCGTCATCAATGAGATCGTAGACACCGATCCCTACCGCCTCCATATCGACGCCGACGTTTGGGTACGTGGTGGCGAAGTCGGCTGCAGCGATTTTGGTGACCTGGAACTTTTCGCTAACCAGGCCTGCCATCCCACCACCGTAATTTCGCGTCCGGTGATGCCAGCGCCGTTCCCATGGCCAGCCTCCACCAGCGCTACGCCCCATTGTAACTTGTTCGTCCCGCCTCTGGTGAGGTCCTCAACAGCCGAATCGACGAGCCAAGTACGTAGATGTATATATGTAATACAGGAACCTGCCCCGTCTTTGACTGTTGCCCCAACCGACAGCTACGAGACCAATCGCGCCGTCTCCGATTCACGAATTTCAACCGCCACCGCCCAAGCGTCCGCCTCTCGTGCTGCCACTGGCACCGACACCACCCCGTTTGAATCATGCTGGATGGTACTGGACACGGTTCTGATACCACTGTCTGGTAATGACCTTTCGTCAGCTAGCTTTTTGAAAGCAACCACAAAATGAATGTTCCCGAAATATCCTCTCAAACGGACAACCCCTTGAAAGTAACTACTTTTAAGTTTTTGAGAGAGTTATTCTCAAATGGACAGGTTAATGTTAATTATATGACGAACTTGAGAAAAAAAAGTGGTGTCACATATTTTTTTTATTTCATGTACCTAGACCTCGATAGTAATATTATTAGAGTAACAGTCAGTGGGAGATGAACTGTAATTGCCCTAATTACAAGCTTATAGGTACTACTTATGTCCGTTGATTTTATGGGTCTTCACAGTGCCAGAATATTCAAATCGAGGACTTTCTTCATATTTTCGGTCCAAGTGTCGAGAAGGCCACCCATTGAGGTGGTTCCAGCATTGTTGATAAGAATGGAAAAAGACCTGCGTTATCTTCAAGCCATTTCAGAACACTTAAAATCTTCTTCTTCACTTAAGTCTGCTTTAATAGCGTAGAGTTTTTGCTTCTTTGTTAAATTTTTGGAGCGTTTTTCGATTAATTCGGTTCGGCAAGCAATTGCTACTACATGAAATAGAATTGGTTATGGGAACTACTGTTTGAAGTAGTTTGTAATTACAATCACTCCTTTTTCTAGAAGAGCATCTACTATTGAAGCACCAATTCGAGCATTAGCACCCGTTGCTACTGCTACTTTATCCATCCATTCAGCCATTGAGCAGTGGCGGCTCGTGAACTTTTCTTCAGAGGAGGCTCAAATTTGAAAGGCACTACTTTTTATATCTTTTATTATCTGAATAATTTTTTTCGTCATGCCCACGAAAAGAACACTCTTGCGTTGACAGATAAATTATATTGCATCGATTAGTCTTTTCAAAATTGCCCAATTTTCACCAACTTTCTCGTAATAGTTCTCCCTTTTATGAGCCGAATCTAAATTATTGGCAATGTTTTGCTTACCAAGCATTTCTAATTTAATCTAAGAAAATATGTGTTCCTGTGATTTTTCATGTCTTTCTATAGCTCGTGACAAATTTTGTAAATTATTATAGCCTGTTTTACCCCAAGCGGAAGATTTATCACTAATACACAATTCCAACAGTATAATTTGTTTCTTAAAACTGAAGCCGTTAACTATTTAGTTTTATTATAATTATTTTCATGAAATGCTCTGTTTTGTTTCTAATTGTAACTGTCAATACCATTAATGGGAGTGATGGTGTTGGTCTTCCCTTTTATACCCTTACCTACGTAAAGCCTAAACACCACCACCACTGAACAGGGAGCTCGCGAAACCACCTCAATGTTTTTCCTACTTACACCCGATTGCTCCAACTAATAAGAAAGAGATAAAGTTATCTGTACGACTTGATCTGAAAAGAGATGAACTAGCCGGAGGCTAGCGGCTTGGAGCGGCAGTGCAATCAACGTTTTAGCCAATGCAATACACACTGACGATGCGTCAAGGTCACGGTCTCATTATTCAGATGCATCGTCGTTCGGAGGCTAGCGGCTAGCAAGCCTCTGCCGCTGAAACCAAACGCGGAGTGGTGTGAATGTGAATTATGATTGTGAGGGCACAAATATAAATTTTTCCGACATTTTAACCTGATATATGATGAAAGTAAATGAAATCCAAGAAAATATTCTGAAAAATGACAAATGTCTACAAAAATATAAATTCTTTCATCGAAAAAAATTAGAGGAAGCTCAGCTCCAAAAATAGAGGAGGCTCAGCCTCCCCTGCCTCCTCTGAGGAGCCGCCACTGCCATTGAGTGAACCATTTTGCAAGGTTTTTCGTGAACGCGACGCCTTTATAGTGTTCAACAATTTTATTTAATATTGCTATCATGACACTGCAAATTTTTAGCACTGATTAACACTAAAGGTGATTGTGTTTACATATTGCTATTGAATTGTCAGATTACAATTTTATTGTATTGGGTCTATATAGACCATCTCATGTAGACTATATTAACTTGAACATCTTTTTTCAGACACTTGATCTTATATTGAGCCATTATTCTCAGGTAAGAAATAAATCTCTAATTGTACTGGGACATTTTAACATACACTTTGAAAAAGACGATGACAGAAGCCTTAAATACCTGCTGGATATCTTGAACAGTTATAACATGGCTTATTTAATTAAACAACCTACTAGAATTACTTCTTGTCTCGATAACATTTTAGTAAGTAACGATCATATAATATAAACAAATGTTTTACTCATGTTTTTGAGGAGTATATCTCAGATCAATCTGGTAAGCTTCTGAGGATAAACTGTGAGCAGCATGCACCGCATCTTTTCGTCTGTTAACATTAAGTTTATTAAATTTTTATCAGGACAAACCTGGGAAAGGGTCTATACCTCAGATGATGTCAATCTTGCTTATAATATTTTTAGCATTACGTTAAATTCTCTATTTCAGGAAGCTTTCCCATTTAAGAAAGTATGGTCTACTTATAAAACTAAAGGTGACTTTACTCATGTAGCACCGATATTAAGAGACTTACGGGAGCAAGTCTCGGTTCTTGGTGAATTAGCTAAAAAATACGATGTCTTCAAGGGTATCTTTTCTCTTATAAATAGTAAATATCAACACAAACTTAGTGAGGTAAAATAGGCTATCAATGGTGAACGTGTTAAAAAAGCCAACAACAAAAACAAAGAAATATGGCGTATAATAAAAAGCTGTACAAATAATTCTGACCGGGGTCCCTCTCAGTTACTGGATAATGGTGTAGCTCTAAGTTCGGCTGAAATTGCAAATAAATTCAATAGCTACTTTGCTGACGCTGCAGCTAAAGCAGTGAGTTCGTTAACAGATACAATTGACTTTGACTTTATTTATTATTATTATTATTATTATTATTATTGAAATACGGGAACTCAACAGGTATGTAACCCATTTACCGAGATCCACAACTGCCAAAAAGAAAACAAATTTAATGAAATAAATAAAAGAAACAAAGAAAACCCAAACACATAGAAAGAACTAAATAGATAATTAAGATAGAGTTTGGAGTTTTTTTTTTAATATCACCTGGTTTGCAACAAAATATGTCAATAGTTTCTTCTACATTCAAATAGTTCATAATTGCCAGATACAATGGCGAAGATTTTAACATATTAGTTCTAGAATGAGGGAGTTCAAAAATTCTGCCACTCCTTAAGTTGGATCTAGGCACACGTAAGTAAATTTGGCACACGAGAGCAGGACAATTAATGACATTATTAATAATGTTTGATAGAAGAATGATACGCTACGTCTTTTTACCAGACTTGGCATTTGAAATCTAAATAGCAAAAGATCATTTGGAAAACCTTGAACAGGATAAACACCATCCTCCAAAAATGCAATAAATTTAAGAAAGCGTCGCTGCACTTTTTCTACACTGTTGATATGAATATTATAAATAGGATTCCAAACTACAGATGCATATTCAAGTCTAGACCGAACAAAACTAAAATATAACATCTTCAACGAATCTATCACCTCTATTCCTTTGGAGTTGCGAATGATAAAGCCAAGAGATTGGTATGCCGACGCAACGATACATTCAATATGCTGTATGAAATTCAACTTTAGGTCAAATGTAACTCCTAAATCTTTTATATGGTGTAGTCTTTTCAAAACGTTACTAGCTAAGGAATAATCAAAATCGATAGTATTTTGCTTTCTTGAATAAGTCATGACATAACACTTACTATAGTTTAGTGGAAGATTATTACTTACAGACCAGTCACTTAATGTATCCAGATTACGTTGAAGATTAAGGCAGTCACTCCAATTTCGAATTTGCTGGAAAATTTTTAGATCATCAGCATAAATTAGGCATTTCGCTGTTAAATGTAAAGTTATGTCATTAATAAACATACTAAATAATAGAGGCCCAAGAACCGAGCCTTGAGGCACACCTGAAAGTTGTTCATACCATTTAGACCGATAACCATTCAAAAAGACATACTGAGTTCTACCCAAGAGGTAAGAATTTATTAAAGTTATCAAATGATCTGAGAAACCAAAATATTTCAGTTTAATCAACATAAGGCGATGATCTATACGGTCAAACGCCCTGGAAAAATCAGTATAAATACAGTCCACCTGACCCTGTTCGTCTAACACCTCAGATAAATATTGTGTCTTTAGCACCAAATTAGTCACCGTAGACCTACCTTTCACAAAACCATGCTGACTATCTCTGATCATATTCGAAACATGTGGATAGATTAAAATATGAAGGACATGTTCAAAAACTTTTGCCAGATTGTTAATTATTGTTATGGGTCGATAATTGGTAACATTAGATCTATCGCCATTTTTATAAATAGGAGTAATCCTCGACTGCTTCCACACATCAGGAAATGTGGATGTACGCAAGATTATGTTAAATAATATTGTCACCGGTTTTGCCAAAATTGGCGCACAATCTTTCACTAAGAATGATGGTATTAAGTCCGGTCCTGCAGTCATAGTTGGTTTCAATTTACGCATAGCTTTGAATACAATTTCTTCATCGAAGTTCTCTATATTGAGGTAGTCGATACTTGGATCATTTGAACTATTGTAATCAAAATTTTGAACAGAATTAGAGATATTAAAAGCTGTTTTAAAGAAATCTGCAAAGGTTTCCACAATGTTCTGGGGGCTGTTTAAAGCATTTTCTTTATAAGACATCGTAGTAGGAACAGATGAAATGTTGTTTTTGGCCTTGATGAATCCCCAAAACCTTTTCGGATCGTTTTTAACATTAGCTGAGACATTACGCATGTATATCAAATAAGCATCTTTAACAAGTTTTTTTATGTCCCTTCTCAGTGCTTTGAAATTTTCATGAGCAATTACACAGTTCGTTTTCTTAAATTGCAGCCAAAATTTATATTTTTGTTTGATCAGATTAATTATATTTCTATTGTACTAAACTGGATAATTACCGGCAGGTTTTTTCTTTGTAGGCACACATTTGCGTAAAATTGGATGTATGGCATCATAAAACATAGTAACTGCATCATGTATATTATTTAAATTCTTAAGAAAATCAAAATTAAGTTCTGCTAGTTCTGTGTAAAGATCAATTAAATTAGCTTTTTTAAAATTAAATTCCAAAATATGATCCCCATGTTT